AGCTCTTTGGACTTCAGGATCCATAAACAGGGTTGAACAGATAACGTAATCTCGATCGAGACGCTCGTTGGCTTTTCTCTCAGGGCTCTGATTGTGGACTGGTTTGCTGTGTGCAGGTCTGTCTCTTCTGCTCGGTGTTCCTCAAACATCACGTCATGTTCCTCAGCTGTGTTCTGCTGCTGTGTCTTCTGCACGTCTGCGGCGGGACCCCGGACCCCGACAGAGAGATGTGCTACTCTCGGCAGCATCGGGATGCCACTGTAAACACGCGTGTGGCTCTGGATCAGAAGGGAACGGTCATGGTGGCCCGAGCCAAGCCGTCAGAGAAAGACTGCATCCTAACCTGCTGCTCGGAGGACATCGGTTCAGGTGTGACACAAACACGCTGCAAATAAAAATCCCAATTTTGAATATTTGTCAAATTTAAAATAAAAATCCTCATTCGAATGCAAAAAAACGTTGCATTTGAATGTTAGGTGTGCGTCAGGCTGCTTTATCAGCGGTGCATGAGATGCGATGACGATGTAAGTGTGGTTGGTTTTTAATGTGTTTGTTAGTCTGTCCAGCGGAAGCCACTGGATGCGGCGCTGCTGCGATGTTCATTCCAAATATTGCAGAAAAAGAGAACATCATTCCGGAGAAGATCTACTGGAACCAAGCCGTTCACACAGAACGCATATTTATCGCATTTTCTAGATGGACATCTATTGTTTCGCACAAGAGAGCCGCATGTTTAGAAAGCCATGTAAAATTAACTTTTAAAAAACATGTCTCGAGACTTTATGGCGGTCCCACTGCATCTCATGTTTTTAAATGAAGAAAGTGCTCTTTGTGATTGGCTTTCATTTCTTTTCTTTTTTTATTAAACTATGCATACATGATGCTTTTTTGTTTAGAATTGTTTAAGCAACTTAATTAAGTATATTTGTTTTATAAACATCATGCACTTTTTCACAGATAATAGTGTTACTTTATTGCTGTATTAAATGTGCATTAGTAATATTTAGCTCTTGTGGCCTCAGGAGAGAAGCCAAAAGCTTTTTTTCACCCTAACTGAAATTATGCCTTTTCAATTCAAATATTGATAACATTTAAGTGCAAAATTCGAATGTAGTTGTTCAGCCGTTTTGAGCGCCCTCACAGTGCTGTTCATCTGCATCTCTGCTCTCACAGGGCTGAAGTGTAATCTGGTGGTGTATAAACCGGCGGAGCGGCCCGAACATCTCAACTGTGAGCTCTTCCACTGTCCGAGCGAGAGAGACTGTCCGCTGATGACAGCCAGCGCTGGAGTCAACACCTACAACATATTCAAGGGTGAGCAGAGCCACAGTCACGCTTCTGTTTTATCGGACAGTACGTCATTGGCGTGGTTTCTTGGGGATGTCGCCTCAGTTCTTCTGATTCTTCATGTAATCGCAGACGGACTGGATGATGATCAGATCAGATCTCTGTGTGGAGCGCTGGCTGGTGTTCATACAAAAATATCACTGGATTATTACAATTAATGGCAAAATGAATGTTTGGAAATGTAAACTGATCTACTGACACACTACAGCAAAATATAGAAATAGAAATATACACACATCTTCATCCTGCATCGCTTTTCCTTCTCAAAATCATAGTCATTGTTGGAAAGGGTTTAAATGCACAAAAATGCTGGAAAACCATAGAATTTGTGGGAGCTGGAGGATTTTTCTGAAGAACAGCAGGCAGTTTGTGTGTGTGTGTGTGTGTGTGTGTGTGTGTGTGTGT